AACAATCACGGCACTAAGTATCAGTTCCAGAATAAGGCACATATTATCCAGCTATTATTCCATACAAACCTTGAACTCCAACAACGTTCCAACGAGATATCTTGTCAGAGCAACTAACTGACAATGTCATATCACCACGACCAGGTTTCCTTTGAACTAAGCCAAAGAGTTGAGTGCCATCCCCTGAAAATAAGCCTCTTATAAGTTCATTTTAGTAGAAGGTTTCTAAGTAAACCAATAAGCTTCTCATCCTCTTGAAACAATAAATCTAATTAAAATAAAATTTGGAACTAGAATGCTTATAAAAGTCTAAAAAAGCATCATATAAAACTATAAGGATATATGACCAAAAATTAAACTAGAAAAAAAATTTGCCATCCTAATTAACTTCAAGGAGACTGCAGGAATGAGGCATGCTTCGTTAATATGCTATTACCATTGTTTCCTTTTGAAGCTTCCAAAAGATTGAGTGTGGAGCAATGATTCAGAGCCATTGAAGATGGAGATTCTGCTTCTTCTGCAGATGTATTTCTTCGAACCGGCAATTGTAAACTAAGCGAGGCACCTCCACCTACAAGAGTCAATCAAAATACATATATTCTTATAAATTTAGATAAAGAAATACTAAAACGATAAACCAAAAAAATTTATATCAAAATCAATTACATGGCAATTGTGATATGTATAAATGCAATTTCCATCCCACTCGGAGTTTGTATTTTCCATGGCCAGGATCCTCCGGATCCAATTGTAGAAACGAGCTCTCCATATCATCATCTTGTAACTGTTTATGCCCATGCTTATTCAAAACATCATTAATACGTTTAATCTCTGCATAGAACAACCTGGTTTATAGAAAAATATATATATATATCAATCATTTTGCTTTCATATATTATAGAATTTGCAAAATGCCATCAAAATGAAGAGTTAATCGACCTCAATAAAGCTCTGCGTGCGATGATTTCAGCATGCGAGTCATTCACAATGTCACCGCGCGGGCTCAAGAGGGAGCGCCCTATGCATTTCGTTCCAGTCCCCAACGCAACAACTTCCAATTCTGAGAATCAATCAAATTCATAGCTTCAGCTA